GCCTTCAAACTTAACTCTAACTTTATTTTTTAAATGTGAAGACAAGCATAAAAAATGTTCGAAAAGTAGCCAATAATAAACAATTTTTATTCTTAAAAAATTTAATGGACGCGGAAAAACATGCAGGGTTTTGGAACAATAATTTTCAAACAAACACAATTATTAAAATGAGTATACCGAAAGTGGTATAATTGGCCACAATATGATCTGGGATTAAATATGATCTAGCTTCAAGATCTCCAGGATAAAATCAGAACTGCACAAACTTACAGTAGTGTCCAGAAATAACCTAACATAACCTAACACTGCGGTTGCAGTTCGGTTGCGGTCGACCGATAGAAACCGCAGACGACCGCAAGGGAAAAAATACCATCGCACAGGCCGTTCACTTCCGAACGAAATGTTATGAACAGTAAGAACGACAACACAATAACCAAATCGAAAAAACCTTAAAAAATGTCTGTCCTACCGAGAATGAGGCCGAGGTTTAATCTCCGTCTCATAGCGATTCGACCTCGGTCTGACCTCAGTTCAACCACGATCAGACCTAGCTTTGACCGCGGTAGGTTATTTCTGGTCAGTACTGTAGGTCCACCTTTGTTTTCGTTCAATTAGCATGTAATCAGTTACGCGAACATTCAAATGTAGCTTAATATTGGTTAATTGGCTAAAACCTCGTATAAACTTCGTTTTAATCAAATTTCCAATTATCTTGAAATAATCTTACATATACAAGTAACAGTAATTTTATCTCAGACTAAGGCCCACATTACACGACACAGGATTAGCTGGTCACGACACTTTCGTTTGCCGTTAACAAGAAATTGGTTGGTAGTAAAAGCTCATTGGTTTGATAGATTTGGTAGGTTTTTTTAGACCAGACATAAATATTCACAGCCTTTTAGCAGCTAAAAATGACTGCATGTATTCAATAGAGACCCCGTATAGTGTAATTGGGCCTTACGTGTGAGATTAACTATAGTAATGACATGAGATGAACTAAAATTAAGGTTTTTAATTTATGAATATATTGCGCTGTATATTTGCACGCTTACCACAAGTAACTTCGTAGCAAATATTTGAATCAATCGACTCTTATGCTATAAAGACGATGCAAGGTTTAGTCAAAAATGGATTTTTAAAATTTTTTTAGCAAAATCGGCACAGTTCAAACATTTGACATATCTGATGGTTTGTCCCTAATATTAGGACGTTTATTCAAATTAAGTTGTTGGATATTATCCGTAAGTTTAATTAGGCAACTTATATCTACCTGAACATATTCTATCGAGAAATCATTTTTTAGTATTAATGATTCGTGATATTTTCTAATCTAAGACAGAAAGTCGCATTTTCCTGGATCATTACGCAAAGAAAGCGATAAATACTTATCAAAATTATGAATTCTAAAACGTTTGTTACCATTTCTGCTGACGGATAGAAAAGAACAAGTCGATGGGAGGAAAAAATGAAAATATTCATTGCGACAATGAAAATGTAGCCGTACGGAAGCAATGATTCTGCCTTCGGACACCTTAACGAATTGCATCATAACATCAGTGAAAACACCTACAATATCGGAATCCATGTAAAAAGCCTGCTGAAAAGATGCAATAGGAAGAGCATGCGTAATTCTCACACCATTTCTTAAAAACTTCATAGAAAATAAAAAAAAATCCTCATCGTAAGGTGATGACATCGTCTGGGATGACACTAATGCTAAACTACGAGTCATATTACTACCAGTTAAACAGAACCATTCAACTGATTCATTCAACTGTCCTGTTGAACGTACAAACCATCTGTTGCCACATTCTATTTCCCACAATTCATAAGTTTTCCTGCAACTGCAATATAACATAACAGCACACCCATCATAACTTATTGCAACAGAAGTGAACTTCTCACTATGGGCCTCGTCAAAATTCCAAGAAGGTATTTCTTGAAGACTGAGATTTTCACCACAAATTTTTAAAATAGAAATTCCACCATTAGTGCTAATTACAAGAACATCTTTTGTAAACTTAACAACACGACTAAATTTTAAAATAGATTCTTCAGTTTGATTTCCTAAGATATTTGAATTCAAAGGTTCATAAGGATATTTAACAACCACGCCTTCACAGACCAACCAAAGATACGACTCAGACCACCAACACGCCACTGCTCGTTGTTTCAGTGCAACAGTTTGCAATGTTTCCCCACTGTCGATACTTCTTATTGAAAGAATGCAATTTTCAAAACAACACGCTACATACAAGTTTTCCGGAGATAATGCACGGCAATCTATTTCGCTGTTGTCGACAAAAGAAGCATCAGGAGATTCGAGAGATATGATAACTACTAAGTTTGGATCCGAACGTAAAAGGAATTTCGTCCCTTCTAATTTTGAAATGCTATCGAAGAGACATCCAACAGGCAAACAATCAATCTGAAAGACGTCAACGATCTCTTTGTTTACAAAATCGTATATTATCAGAGCTACAGCACTTGCGGAGGAGTAATCGCTAAATGCTACACACTTCTTTCGCTTCCATAAAAAGATTTTTGAACACCATTTATTAGGAAGGAGGACTATCTCACCAGATGGCAAGCAAACCTGATCAAAGCTAATTCTACGGGATGGTTCGTCAATATCCAATACATCATCCGGTGAACAGATCTGAATGGAAACTTTACTTGACAAACACGGCGCAACAGAATTCTTTTCAATAAACACTTCTTCCAAATTCTCTGAGCGAAAGAAACTCGTACATTCTAATGAGTCCGAGTCAATATCCAAACTAAAAAGGAGAATGTAGGAGCCACACAAACTAAACAAACAACGACACCAAGTTCGACCATAAATGTCAACTTCTACTAATAGGGTTTTCATTATTACATCCCACACTTGGATCAATTCCGGCCCTAATGTAGCAAGTTTCATTCCACAGGAAGAAAAAGAACAACTGCAAATGTCTTCGGGACCGTGTGCAATGAAGGGTACTTCCTTTTGTTCTTTAACAAGGATGCATGACCGAATTGAATTGCATAAAAAATAGGAGGAATCAGGAGAAAAGGCAATGAAGTCATAAATATCACGATGTGTCTTATCTACTTGTATTTTGAAAAGAGTCGCGAGGCTTGGTATTTTAAACACTTGTATTGTCCTTGTTTCATCATTAAAGAGGGCAAACATCGTATTGTCCGGTGACAGAGAACTGGTAAATGAACGAACTGACAAGGCACAGGTGACACGATTGAAGTTATGATTCTCTTCGTTTGTCACACCTTCTATCCAAATCTCATTTATTGTATCCAAGATATCTCTAGCAACGTTTTTAGGACAGACATTATTTTGTGAAAAATCAAAGTATCCGTTTGCAAGATCTTTCAAATAATCGTTACAATATGCTGGAGGGTCCTTTACCGTTGAATAAAGCGCTCCAATATATACTAAGGAAGAATGCAGTTGAATGATGCCGTAATAAATATCTTTGGAAAGAACACTACCGTACGTGTCAAGGATTTGGTTGAAATTAATATCGGTGGTGCGATCACAAAATTTTAGTCTTAAATAGTTTACGCCAACATGCACCAACCAGAAAAATTCCTCCACCTCACCTGTTCCAGCCAAATATATTCCACCATTTTTTAAAGCGTACTTATTCTCAGGTGAAATTTGAAATTCTAAAACGGACTTTAAATATTCTATCTCACAGAATTGCTTCTCACAAGCACGCCAAAGACGTCTATTTCCGTCTTTAACATCTGCAACAAACGCATGTTCCTCATACCCATTCAACGTCATCCAATCCCATAATGACTTATGATAAAGAGTCAGGCAACCATCATAAACTGGAAGAATTTCTGACATAATGTCAATAATCGCCGTGCGTATTTCAAATTCTCTCCAGGGCATACCCATGCATGTAAAAAGAATTTTCAGTGGGAGAGGCATGAATGCAGCGGCAATAACATTGATAAAACTTTTTAAAATAGATGAAAAGGTATCTTGCTTTAAACGTTGGAGGCGGCTTTTCAAACGTTTGAACTGTTTTTCGTAATATCCGGCAATACCATTGGGGATGCGATCACTTAAGTCGGGTTCAATTCCCAAGCCCTTTTCTCTTAATTCACGAACTAAGTGATAAGCGTACAAAAACGATCCCTCACACTTCCAAATAACTAACCTTAAACTATAATCGTCAAGATTAGGTAAATCACGATGAATAAACAGCGCAATATCTTGATTGTGATCTTCATCATCAGGAAGGATTTCTAACGGCTGTAAATGTTGAAGAACCTTCCGTACTTGTAGCTCCGGTCTGCTGGAAATGAATATCTTAATCCAATCAGGCAGTTCACAAAATTTCTCAGATATCAACTCCAAAAATTCGCTCTTCATATCAGTTTTACTCTCGTCCAAGGCATCAACAATGATCAACATTGGATCATTTCTGCGAAGAGAGTGTAGCGGATCGTTTAAAAGAACACGAAATGCGTCTGACAGCGAGTCCGAGAATGTTCACGACGAAGGATTTCGGTTAGTTTATCACGGAATCCATCAACATTCACACATTTGGCTGGCAAGGGACTGGACGATTCTGTGAGGATTGCTGTAATCAGAATTTCGAAAGTCGCAGAAATGGTGAGCTGCGAGTTGGCCACGTTCTCTATACAATTCAGAGATCTTTCCAGACAAAACACTTTTTCCAACGCCTGGACCTGCAGTTAGGATCATAACTCTGGTTTCTTTACTCACAAACCAACTTGAGAGTTTATCAAACAACCATTTTCTAGTGCCTTCATGAAATTTTTTACAAAGGTCGTCAATCTTTCCAGCGAAGTCAAATTTAGCGAGTTTCTCGACAGTTGAGTGATGAACATTCTCATCTACTGTTTTTCTTAGCTTGACTACTTCACTTTTAATATCACTTAAATCTGATTTCAAATCATCGTTTTGTAGTTTCCATTGAACAGTTGAGTTATGAACATTCTGATCTACTGTTTTTTTAGCTTGACTACTTCACTTCTAACATCACTTAATTCTGATTTCAAGTCATCGTCTTGTTGTTTCCATTTTTTTAATCTGTTAATATAACTTTCTTCTTCAGGGCTAAGAGGAGTCACTTTCAACTCATCAATATCCTTTTGAGGAATTCCCAAGTTGACCAACGGTACCGAAATCTCTTGCCACAATTTTTCAAACGTTGTGTCGTCCAAACTTGCAGTTGGAATATGACCATACACTTCATTCCTGAACATTTTGACTCTCAAAATGTTTGCTGATATAGATGTATCGCTAGCTGGAGGCATAACATTCCACCCAGTCGCTGGTGGAGACAATCCACAAATATTTCGAAGTAGGACAGTCAGTAAGGTGACATCGAAGTTGTTTGAATCTGGTACACCAGATATTGGGAAGAGTAAATCCCATTGCGGGGTTTTAATTATATTGTATCGTATTCTCTGCAGGGTCATCTTGTTGGCATTCAATGCGGAGGCCAAGGAGGAAGGTGGATGCACCAAATGTAGAGCAAGTCTCAAAGCATCTCCTCCTTTATCTACCAACAGTTGACAAACCCGGGAATAATTAGCTTTGCTTTTTATTGGATCCATTAAACTGATCTTTAAATTGAAAATCCCTGAAACCAAAGAAGGAAATGATTGGAGATTGTTCTGATGAAAACAAGGCACTTACTTTACTTTATTTTAAAAATTTACAAACATGCTACGTTCCTTATACCAGCTACTCAGGGAAAAGGATGACCAAATTCAGTGAGTTAAAATGGAACAGCACATTTCCACAAGCATGCGGTCATATATTCGAAGGAAAAATAGGATATCCCAACAACGGAAGCTAATATTTAGGACATTTAATTCGAAGTGTATATATTAGGAAGCTAATATTTAGGACATTTAATTCGAAGTGTATATTCTTATATCTGATCCTCTTATGCTGCACTGATTCCATACAACACAAATGTGAAGTCAGTGCTGCTGTATGGTTCAGAAACATAGAGGACATTCTTGTTTTCTTTGATGGTTAACGATATAAAACCAAAAGATCCAGATAAAAATATGTTAGTCAAGTTCGCAGATGACATGACAGTCAGCGCACCGGTTACCACTTCTGGGGACACCGCTTCCAACGAAGTTAAAAATATTAGAGATTGGACATATGAAAACAGAATGACTCTGAATCTATCTAAGACATGGGAAATGGTCATAAGTAAGAGATCATTAAATCAGTTACCACCCCCAATTAATGGGATTGAACGAAAGAAATGGCTCACACTCCTTGGTGTAAGCTTTCAAGACGATCCTTGTTGTTGGGATATCCATGTAGACGGTTTATTGTCTAAAGCTAGTGGACGAATGCATATCTTAAGAGTATGCAAACTATATGGTTACCCCCGTGATCAATTGACCAAATTATTTGAAACTTTGATCCTTTCCTTGTTTACCTACGCAATCGAAGTATGGGGCTCAGCATTACTGAAGAAATACTTAAAACGGATAGATCAATTTTTCAAACGAGCTAATCGATATGGATATACGGACAAAGAATATAATATGTCTTCACTAATTGAAGAGAGAGATAAAACTTTATTTGGAAAAATAATTAAAGATACTGAACATAGTCTTTATGACCTCTTGCCTGATGAGAAACAAAGAACATTAAGGGCACAGAACCACGATTATACCCTCCCCCAAGTTAAAACAGAAAGGTTTAAACGATGCTTTGTAAATAGATGCCTTTTTAATAATTTTTAAATATGATTGATATAAACTTGAAATTTTTTAACTTATAGAATAATGTAAATATTTATACATATTGTATCTTAATTATCCATGTAAAGTCACACGTTTGTTGTGGCTAAATTTTTAATAAAGACTTTACATACATACATACATACAAAACCATAGTACGTTTGTTAAGGTGGCTCCCAATACGTGTAATTAGTACAGTTTGAGACGCGATCTATTAAGATCAGACGCGCATGGAGTAATCGCGATTCTTCAAAAACGGCTCGCTCTGTTTAAAGGCGTTGCTGGAAGTTTATGTCAGAGAAATAGGACATAAAGTTTCAAATTAACTTTTGGGAGTCTGCCAATCAAAAAATCGAGAGAGGAGAGAGAACGCACGTTGAGAGGCAGAGACTGATAGAACAGAGTTATAAGAGACGGAGAAGTAAAAATTGCGATTTAATCGAGTTCTAAAAGTCTATTGTAGCACTGAGATTCAGAGCTAATATTTAGGACATTTAATTCGAAGTGTATATTCTTATATCTGATCCTCTTATGCTGCACTGATTCCATACAACACAAATGTGAAGTCAGTGCTGCTGTATGGTTCAGAAACATAGAGGACATCACCCACAAAGTTTACAACACGGGAAGTTTACAACTTCGGTGTATCGTAAAAACCTACGTTTACTGGTCTCTTCACGAATTTCCATAGCTTTATACCACTCAGTTATAAACGCTGCTTAAAAATATCATGTTTACTCCATCGCATTTTCAATCTCTGCTCGAGTTATGAAAACTTCCACGTCCAACTCGAAATTGTTAGAAAGTTATTCCAGGTCAACGGGTTTCCTTCGCATTTATTCGACCGTCTGGTCCGAAAATTTCTCGATAATACGTTCGTTCCAAAACCGCCTATCCTAACAGCACCTAAGAAAATCATCTATTTTTGTCTCCCTTTTACTGGGTTACACTCTATTCAGATTCGCACCCAAATCAACCGTCTTTGTAGCGCCGCTTTTCCGCATTTGGATGTTAGATTTGTTTTTCGTTCTACTAGAAGGCTCTCTTCACTCTTTCCGTTTAAAGATAAAGTCCCTAAGTACCTGAGATCTGGTGTAGTTTATTTATTTAAGTGTCGATGCTGTTCCGCGTCGTATGTGGGTCAAACCACGCGTCATTTACACACCAGAATATCAGAGCACTTGGGAATATCACCCATCACTGGTAAACAGACCTCAAGCCCTGTTATGTCCAGTATACATTCGCACCTAAAGGCTTGCGGACACCCGGCTAGCTTTGACGAATTTAGAATCCTCTCTTCCTCATCTGACTCTTATGAGCTAATGATACATGAGAGTCTCCTCATCACCAAACTTAAGCCTTCTCTTAATGTTCAAGGCAACTCTATCCCTCTCAATTTATTTTAGTCCTTACTTCGTATTGTCATCGTGTCGTGACGTCTCTGTCCCTTGTCCTCTCATGTACCGCTTGTTCTTACGTTGTCCTTGTTATCACCTTTTGTAAATTGATACCTTGTAAATATATTACTAGTCTACATATTCAAATTATCATGTAATTTATCATTTAGTCTGAAGATGTCTTAAGTTAAGACGAAACGTTACTACCAAATATATTTTTATTATTCTCAAATGGTTTGATTGTCTCTTATGGCTTTACTGAAAGCACTATGTTGGGCTTTAATATTTATACTTCGAATACGCTTCCCGCTCGGCACGTCTCTGGCAACAGCATTGTATCAATTATGCACTGTATGCATGCAGAATATCAGGTATCGACTTACTATCGACATATATATTGGTGTTAGGGATCTATCAATACATAAACAACACAGCGTCGTTTCTTCCTAACCTCTTAGCTCTATGGAATAAAGCTTCCAAATTATATTTGTGTTGAATTGAATGCTCGTATTTTATAACATAAGTTGATAAATTGCGTAGGTTCTCCAAGAATTGCTTGATTTTAATCTAGGCCGTCCTCAGGATATTTTACAGGGGGGAAGGGTTAAGGTTATCTAAACCGACTGATCGACGGACTTGTACCGACTACACTCCAGATGAAACTTTGTCAAGTTTATATTGGATCGGTCTATAGTGACAAAAATATTTTTCTGCCTACAAAATAGCAATTTTACCCACTGAACCTCATGCAGAATAAAATTTCTGGGGGTGTAACATCCCCACACCCCCCCGTAGCTCCGAGCCTGATTTTAACGCCCGGAATGTTTTGAAGCAATGCTCGTCGCACCTCGCTTTTTCACATTGTGAATAATGTTCAAGCTCACGGCACATGCGCAGTTGCGACGTACAAGAAAAAATCGGCTGTTCCGGGGAGAAAATCTGGGATAATTCCTTTAAAACAAAACCCAAACCGCAATGCTTCAAAATTTACAAGGGTCAAAATTCCTCAATATCCTGGTGAACTTAGCAAAAGGGATAGTGCATTAATAAATAAAGCAAGTTAAACTGATTTACAAACTTTAATCTGAAACTGATCACGTACAAAAAGTTACAATAAGCATAAATCAACCTACCCCTGGAAAGTTTACACTATGACTGACTGACCTCCTCGTTTGAAATTTCGCAACTCATCACAACAAACTTTCTTTGAAAGAAACTTTGCACTAAAAATGTTCGGAGGGTACGCACATCGCACATAGATCAGGGGTGATACAGCCGTTTCCCCGCCCGTGTTTCACAGCGCCCTGGCTCAGCTGAAAAGGAATGCGAGGCAATCCAGAGGCTTAAACACTTAAACAAATGTTGCTAAACAGCTTCCTAGCGTTTAATCAATGTGTTCTTGTTCTGTTAGCATAAATGCTCAACAAAATATAGTTTGAAAACAAAAGATTTGAAGCTTTCACACACGGTAAAAACGAATCGTCTGAATTAATAACCTTGGGCCGGTTGTATGAAAGCTGGATAGCGCTATCCACTGGATAGAGATTTTTTAAACCGTTCTAAAATTGGTCGAAAAGTGATAAAATTCCTCGATTTAGGAACACTAAGATTTAATCGAAGTAAAGAGAATGCCAATGGCTGATTTTAAAGCGATTGAATAAATCACTATCCGGTGGATAGCGCCATCCGGCTTTCATACAAACGGTCCCTTGTGCATAATTTAAGCCCCAAAATGGCCATTTCACAGCTGTCAGATGTGAATGATATGAGCTGTCAAAAGATTGCGGAAGGCGTATTTCGAAATTTAACTTATTCTCCATGATAGTGATACAAAAATGCACAATTCTGAACCAGTGATTAGATTTTCGTGTTAAAACTTCATAAACACCAATTTCTGCCGTGTTTGTTTATCATGTTGTACCTTTGTGAGTTCCTGAAAATCAGGGCGTGGCAAACGAATTAAGGGATGTCATGTGATCTTCACCAACTTTTAGAAATAATAAAAGTATCTAAAATATCCAAAATGGAACATGTTATAGATCTATGTATTCAAAGATTATCCACTATGTGTTGACTATTGTACCAAAGTTTTCATCTCTGCTTTTCTGATGAATAATAACACTTTGATCAACTTCAAACATAGCCCCACACAACTCAGTCCCAAACTCCTTTGCTATATTATAATGATGTATTCCTTAAAAGATTATCGCAGCGAGTAATTTAGATTGATTAAAAGATAGCTGACATTGATTGTCCTATCTATAGTCACTTATGATGTTGCTACATACATGTACTGTACATGAACCATACATACAGACAACTGGTTGTTGACTTTTTCAAGAGTTGGACTGAAAGCAATACATTTACAGAGCAACAGTGTGTGAATTATGTAATTAGCTAGATATTGTCATTCAGTTTAACCAGAAACAGTTCTTGGTCTTGACGATGCAGTCAGGGGCGTAACTAGAACGATAGTTCAGGAAAGCTCGCACACGCTGGTTCTTAATTCAAGGGACTGTATCTTTCGTATTTTCGTTTATTTACGTTTAATTCTCTATCTCATTACATTCAATTTTCGGTTCTAACAACAATCTATTCACGATCAGTTCACAATCTATTGACAATCTACTCACAATCCCCTCATAATCTGCTCACAATCTCTCGCTCATACAATTTAGCTCTCTATTTATAAAAACTGGTGACTCCCTTTTGGCACATACAATTTGCAGTTCCGTTCTCTTTTGCCCACAAGGGAGCATTTCTGCGTTATCTTGTTAGGTCCATCGTCCGTTCCAACATAATGTTGGCAAAAACAATCTTTTACTTCACAAACAAATTTAACATAAAATTCTACTTGGCAATAACAACTATTTCACATAACAAACAAATTTAACATAACATTCTACTTGCCAATAACAACTATTTTACTTTTACGCAACTTTTATGACACATGTTACAAAACCTCAAAATTTATATTTTGATCATCAACTTTTCTAAAACTTCCTCCAAATCTCGATCAGCACTTTCCCCAATACAAAATTTCAGCCGTTAGTGGTTAGTGATCTCCTGTATTTAGGATTTTACACTAGTGTTTGTTAACATTAACAGTTACACTCATCAACGTTAACATTAACAGTTAACAGTTATACTCAACATTAGTATTCAAGTTTATATTATTAGCATAAATTATAGAGAACATTACAGTAATATATAGAGATCATCGGACACGTTGTTTTAACTTTTATAGTCGGCCATTGTTGATAGATATTGTTTGCTTAGCGAGAACAAAAGACACAATTCTTAAATATACTCCATTATTATTCGAAATAAACCAAATAATCTGACAGTGTTCACTTTTTCACTTCATAAAATGAGAATTTAATATGATAAAGATATTTATATATGCACATCTGCTGATATAGTTTTTAAATAAATGAACAGAAACTGGAGATACAAAATGTGTAATAAACCACAATCCCTTACCTTCTCATTCAATAGCAGAGCAAAGACATCATTCAATTTGGAACATTGTTAACACAGAGAAAATGAATCCAGATTCTTAAGGAAAAAATCAGAAAAAATCATGAAAAAATGAAAATATCACATTATTCACTACATGGGGGAGATCATGCATGCATGCTTGGAATCCATGTTGGGAGTCAAAAATTGTGCAAGATATCTGTGAATAAAACATGGTTTCAACTAAAGCTGTATGGTGAACAAAGGGTGTAAGCAGTATACTTTCAAAAAATTACTTCCTCTTAAATCTAACTATAACTGCAGTTGTGCATGTGCACTTACTGTTACCCTGCAGCAACACTTTGGTAACCATGGGGGTGATGGAAATCCTTAAAAGTTGGCTTCTGCAACTTCCGGTGTTATGGCAGACGCTAGAGTATTATAGTTATTAACATACTAATGAGATAACGTGGGTGGTTGGCTATAAAAGAGCCCAGCGATACATAGCTGGCCATAGCTTACAATAACGAATATTGCATGTGAACGTAAAGGTGTAACGAAGTGTACAAAGGTCACAAACTTTTTGAACCGTGTTTATCAACTACAACATCGTGTCAGTGTCTTTGATTGTCTAAACGGATTTGAACTAAATACGCGTCTCTTTGTGCCCCTGTAATCGCTGAAGTCAACGTACAACGGGATTTTGGCCCTTACATTTGTTCAAAAAGTTTGTGACCTTTGTACACTTCGTTACACCTTTACGTTCACATGCAATTATGAAGAAGTTTAGTGCCGACTATAATCAGTCAACCGATGTTAATGGCGATGCTTATGGCGAAGTTCAAGGAGATACTGCTAGTGAGACTAATACAAGAGAATCTCGTACTAAAAGGTATACGGAAAAAGGACGAGAATATAGATCTCAGCAGTTGAAAGGCAAACAAACATCAAGCTTAGCAGCCGTGACACTGAAAAGAACAGAACTAACTCGATTAATGACAGACGATAACGATTTACACTTAGTTAAGTCTGCACTGGATCATTTCAATAACTTATTCATGGCATACCAGCAAGTACATTATGAATACGTAGATACGTTATCATCAGAAGTGAATTTAGAACTTGAAATACAACGATATGAATCAAGAGAGAAGTCTACTTTGGATTTCCGTCAGCAGGTAAAAGAATGGATTTCGCGCGCTGAAGATCGACTGTCTGATCAGTTAGCTAAGGACGAAGAATGGAAAAGCTCTAAGTCTAACAAGTCAGCCGGAACATCTAAGAGCTCTCGAGAGTCTAAATCGTTTACAAGTTCATCAGCTTCATCTCGTACAAAGGAAAGAGTAAAATTGGCTGAATTATTGGCGGAAAAGACGATGCTTAAACGTAAACAAGCTCTTAAGGCGGCTGAAGAGGATTTACAGTTAGAAACAGAAATTGCAAAGGCACGAGCGAGAGAAAGAGTTTATAAAGAAATGGTTCAAGTCGTAGATGAGGAATCAACTAAAGTAAAGGAAAAAGACGAAATCCCTCAAGCCCAAGAAGAAGAGAAGCCGAGACCCTTAACAACGCCAATGAAGCCACCAACTACGCCAGTTGTGGAACCACCGAGAAGAACATTACCAACACCAGAGTTATCAGTTTCTACATTATCTGATTTCAGAAGTCCACCAAAATCACCCCGTAAACCAAAGTATGACCCTCGACTAGACCCTATGGTGCCAGAGTTCCAAAATCGTATTACCTCCACAAATACCAATAATTCAAGATTCCAATCCCACAACGAGAGAAATTCAACACCAGTCTATCCAACTACAGTATCACATGAAAGGTCTTTACAACAAATAGTAATGGCGCAACAACAGCAAACTGAACGTATAATGCTCGCAAATATGCAACTTGCTGCTGCTATGAGTCTACCAAAACCAGAGGTGCCAAAGTTCAAAGGTGACCCAGCGGAATTCAGTTCATTCATAAAGGCCTTTGACGCACGTATAGAATCAAAAGCCACTAATCACGCGGACTGTTTATATTATCTGAATCAGCACCTTATAGGCGAGCCTAAAGAACTAATCGGAGGATGTTTATATATGGAACCGGAGCAAGGGTATCTAGAAGCAAGAAATTTACTTGCACAAGAATATGGTGATTCCTACAAGATCTCAACAGCATACGTGAATAAGGTCCTTGGTTGGTCTACAATCAAATATGACGACGAAGTTGGACTTAAACGTTTTTCACTGTTTCTAAAGAAAATTAAAAATGCCACGACTGCTATGTCTTACATGACTGTGCTAAATCATCCAACGAACATGCAAACAATTGTTAAAAAGTTACCAGCTAACCTTCAATCTAAATGGCGAGATCAAGTTACAAGATTGAAGAAAACGCAAAGGAAGATCGCACAATTTGAAGAATTGGTTGCCTTTGTGGATATGTGTGCGGAATCTGCTAACGATCCCATATATAGCAAAGATGCTTTAAGTGGAAAACGTACGGAGATCAAAGACAAAAGAAAATTAGGTGACCAAAGTTCAAGCTTTGCAACCAATGTGGAACAGTCTACTTCCTTAAAACCAGAAGAAAAAATAGAAAGCGAAGTCTCAAAGATGAATCGATGCCCTTGTTGTAAACAAGAGCATCAGCTAGATGAGTGCGATAACTTTACGAAAAGGTCAATTGAAGACAAAAGGTTATTCCTTAAAGAAAGACGAATGTGTTTCTCGTGTTATGGGCATAATCACATGGCCAAGGGGTGCCTTCAAAAGAAAAGGTGCAAAACTTGTGGTAAACTTCACCCTACCGCATTGCACATTCCTGGATTTAAGTTACCAATCAAGAACTCTGAAGGCGATATACATGACAAGGAAAAGTTAAATACTGGCTTTGTCGGTGTTCCTGTAACCAACAAAAAGGACGACAAAGAGATCTCCCTAAATGAACCTGTTATTTATCATGCGATTCTTCCGGTAAAGGTGAAAAAAAAAGGTAGTGAAAAGACAGTGACCACTTATGCATTTTACGATAACGGCAGTGGTGGGTCCTTCATTACAGAGAACCTCCAGAATCAGTTAGATGCAATAGGTGTCAAGACAACGTTACAGCTTGGTACAATGCACGGACAGAGCATAGTAAATAGTTGTATTCTCACTGACCTTATTGTCACTGATATAAACGACGAGAACCCCATCGAGATAAACAAGATGTTCACAAGAGAATTTATTCCTGTGGAACACAACCAAATTCCAACCCCAGAGATTGTTGCTGACTGGATGCATCTTGAACAAGTTGTTCACGAAATGCCATGCTACATACCTGGTCTAGAGATTGGCCTTCTCATTGGTAGCAACTGTATTTCAGCCCACGAGCCTTTGAGAGTAATACCAAGCACAAGAGAAGGTCCCTTCGCTGTTCTACTACGACATGGATGGACGATTAGTGGTCCACTACGCCCTGAACCACAACGAAAGACCGAAAAGATTACGGTAAATCGAATAACAGTTCGTGAAATACAACACGTTAAAGAAATCGTCACACCCAAATTATTATTAAATGCACTTGCAATCGACTTCAACGACCAGAACATAGTTTCCACCGATCATATGGAGAAGAGTTACTCCCAACAAGATAAATTGTTCATGAAATGTAAGGGCCAAAATCCCGTTGTACGTTGACTTCAGCGATTACAGGGGCACAAAGAGACGCGTATTTAGTTCAAATCCGTTTAGACAATCAAAGACACTGACACGATGTTGTAGTTGATAAACACGGTTCAAAAAGTTTGTGACCTTTGTACACTTCGTTACACCTTTACGTTCACATGCAATATTCGTTATTGTAAGCTATGGCCAGCTATGTATCGCTGGGCTCTTTTATAGCCAACCACCCACGTTATCTCATTAGTATGTTAATAACTATAATACTCTAGCGTCTGCCATAACATTCCCGACCTCTTAAACAATGATAAGAACATTGTTTAACTATACATCAGTTTACACAACAACTAATTAAACTGTACTATCTGTTCCATATGTTCGTTTAGATAGTCAGATCAAGTTTCTGCTTTTCTTCGTTTTCTAATAAAAGTACTAGCTTGTTAATAGGACGGTGCAGTTCTGTAGTGGACGTCTTTAATTTTGCACTTCTCACGTATCCTTTCGCATCTGGGTAAACTTCTGTTACGCGACCCATTGACCATACATTTCTTGGCGAATTGTCGTCTTTAATTAACATTATGTCGCCTACCGCAACGTTTCTTTTCGTTTTGGTCCACTTTTGTCGGTTTTGAAGGGATAGCAAATACTCCATTTTCCATCTTGACCAAAACAAATTAGCTAGGTATTGTACTCTACGCCATCGTCGACGAACGTACAAATCCTCACGGTCAAACACACCAGGTGGTGGTAATACTACGGATGTCTTCATGGTTAGTATGTTGCTTGGTGATATTGGATTTAGATCGTTGGGATCACTAGATGGAAAGGTTAGTGGTCGCGAGTTGACAATTGCTTCGACTTCACATAATACGGTATGGAAAGACTCGTCATCCAGTTGTTCACCGTTTTCATAAAGGATGCCCGCCAATATTTTGCGAACGCTTCGTATCTGTCTCTCCCATACTCCGCCCATATGACTAGACGCTGGTGGGTTGAAAATCCACTCAATGTCAATTCGATTTAACTTGTTTTGAATAAGAACATGATCTATTTGCTTTAGAGCACTGTCCAGTTCCGACTTTGCTCCAATAAAGTTTGTACCGTTGTCGCATCGAATTTGTCGTATAGGTCCTCTGCGAGCAATAAAACGTCGTAATGCATGTATAAAGGAATCTGTGCTCAACGAATTAGCTACTTCGATGTGTATGGCTCTGCTTGAAAGACATGTAAATAGGGCTCCATATCTCTTTAATACCTTTCTCCGCTCCTTAATTTGAAACGGGCCAAAAAAATCCACACCGACATACGTAAAGGGTGGAGCTGGGTTGACGCGTTCCTTAGGAAGATCTGCCATTATCTGATCGGTCGGTGGAGCTCGAATGCGTCGGCAAGTGACACATTTGAAGAGACATTCGCGAACAGCAGCATTGGCACTTATTATCCAGTATTTCTCTCTTAGGGCTGCAAGGACATGACCGCGACCAGCATGACCTAACAATCGATGAACATGCCGAATGATAAGCGTTGTGATATGATTCTTACGTGGTAGGATTATAGGATTCTTTGTAGCTTCTGCCAACTCGGCTTTTGCCAAACGACCCCTAACATGAAGAATACCTTCGGAGAAAAATGGATTTAGCTTGTAGATGGAACTTGATTTTTTAATCTCCGTTTTTTTTTGTTTATCTTGCTTTCGCGCATCTTTTTCTCCAGAACCCATGATAACGTTAATAGCTCGAATTTCGTTTTCAAAGGCTCGTGCCTGCGTACACCTTACGATACAGCGTTCAGCTTCTTCCAGTTCTTCAAGTGAAATCAACGGTAGCAACGGTGGTGGATTCTTCCCTTGCGTTGTTTGTTTCTTTACGCTTGGAGTAGTATTATTATTATCGACTAAGCCTCTTCTTTGTGTAATTCGTTGCATCAGTAATTTACGTATTCGAAGTATTATTGCCACTGCTTTCTTCAGCCGATGCCAATCTGAAAAGGCTTCAAACAGTTTATTGACTGTTGCCATGGAAAGGTTGATGGATATCCTTGAGCATTTAACTACCTTAATTTCTGGATCGTTTTTATCCGTGACCCCCGGCATATCTGGTTGTTGTGGCCACGTACTCTCTTCTTGCCACAGGAAGTCTGGACCCCGGATCCACTTCCGTTGATTTACCAAAGTTTGGCTATCCATTCCTCTTGATGCGTAATCTGCTGGATTCTCCCGTGACTCTACATATTGCCATTGCTTTAAATCGGTCAAGTCTCTGATAATTTGTACGCGGTTCCCAACGAATACGTGAAATCTGGTATGCTCATTCCGTATGTAGCAGAGGACTGTTGTCGAATCGGTATAATACGTTATGGTATCAGGTTTCATTTCTAATTCTTCGTGTAATAACCGTCCCAAACGGGCAGACAAAGTTGCAGCAACAAGCTCTTTGCGTGGAATCGTAACGACTTTCACTGGAGAAAGGCGTGACTTTCCCATTAAAAAAGCACAGTGGATTTGACCTTTGTCATCTTGGAGACGGAGGTACGCTACTGAGCCATATCCATAGAAGCTTGCATCTGAGAATATATGGATTTGCCGTGAAACTATTTCTCCAAACCAAGATGGTATCAAACTTCGGCTTTCTCTAAATTGCTCAAGGTCTTGAAGCTCGGTTTTCCATTTAGACCATCTGGCTTGATATTGTTGTGGAATCTCATCGTCCCAACCCAACGATTCTTCTTTGCATAGATCTTGGAGAATCTTCTTCGCCAGTAACACAAACGGCGAGACAAAACCAAGAGGATCGTACACTGAAGAAACAGTAGAAAGGATACCTCTTCTTGTTGCTGGTTTAGAACTTAGGGTTATACAAAATTCAAAGGTATCAGATTCAATACACCAATAGACACCAAGAGCGCGTTCGATAGGTAAGGTTCCATGGTTCAAGTCCAAGTTTTTTAGTCCTTTAGAACGTTACTCTTCAGGGATTGATTGCAATACAGCACGTGAGTTGCTAGTGAACTTGGTTAGGTGAAAACCCCCTTTATCACACGATTTACGCACGCCATCAACCAGTTTGATAGCCAGGATGGAATTATTAGCCGCCTTTAAACAACCATCTACATAGAAGTTTCTTTTAATAGTTTCTGCGACGAATGAACTTAATTCTTTCTCATTATCTGTGGCGGTTTTCTTCAGAGCAAAGTTGGAACAGCTCGGTGATGAAACAGCGCCAAACAGGTGCACCGCCATACGATATTTTTCCATTTAAGCGTTGAGATCGCCATTGGGCCACCATAAGAAGCGAAGGAAGTTTCTTTGGAGTCTGGAAACACGCACTTGGGGGAACATGGTCTCAATATCAGCCATAAAGCCAATGGAACCTTCTCGAGATCTTGTCAATACACCGACTAGACTGCTGGTAAGATTTGGACCAGGTAAAAGCTGATCGAGGGACGTCCCATAAATCGAGCACTACAGTCAAACACAACACGGATCTTTTCTGGCTTTTTTGGATTATAGATGCCGTGATGAGAGATATACCATACTTGACCGAGTTTTGATGACGAAGTTTCTCTCGGAACCTTTTCCGCATCTCCTTGAGCGATGACATTTTGAACGAAGTTAATGTAGTCCTTTCGATATTTCTTTTTTTTTTTTTTCATCTTTCAGCATCTTTCTTTTCTGTAACTCAGCGCGTTTAACAGCTTGCGTCTTGTTATTTAGCATCATGACATCTTCATTCTTAAATGGTAACGGAACTTCATAATGACCATCAATGTATCGAACGCCTTCCTCCACTTTCCTTCAGGAACAATTTATCTTATTGGGAGTAGCTCTTCTCCATATGATCGGTGGAAACTATGTTCTGGTCGTTGAAGTCGATTGCAAGTGCATTTAATAATAATTTGGGTGTGACGATTTCTTTAACGTGTTGTATTTCACGAACTGTTATTCGATTTACCGTAATCTTTTCGGTCTTTCGTTGTGGTTCAGGGCGTAGTGGACCACTAATCGTCCATCCATGTCGTAGTAGAACAGCGAAGGGACCTTCTCTTGTGCTTGGTATTACTCTCAAAGGCTCGTGGGCTGAAATACAGTTGCTACCAATGAGAAGGCCAATCTCTAGACCAGGTATGTAGCATGGCATTTCGTGAACAACTTGTTCAAGATGCATCCAGTCAGCAACAATCTCTGGGGTTGGAATTTGGTTGTGTTCCACAGGAATAAATTCTCTTGTGAACATCTTGTTTATCTCGATGGGGTTCTCGTCGTTTATATCAGTGACAATAAGGTCAGTGAGAATACACGACGAGATACATATCGTGTGATAAAGGGGGTTTTCACCTAACCAAGTTCACTAGCAACTCACGTGCTGTATTGCAATCAATCCCTGAAGAGGAACGTTCCAAAGGACTAAAAAACTTGGATTTGGACCATGGAACCTTACCTATCGAACGGGCTCTTGGTGTTTATTGGTGTATTGAATCTGATACCTTTGAATTTTGTATAACCCTGAGTTCTAAACCAGCAACAAGAAGAGGTATCCTTTCCACTGTTTCATCAGTGTATGATCCTCTGGGTTTTGTCTCGCCGTTTGTGTTAATGGCGAAAAAGATTCTCCAAGATCTATGCAAAGAAGAATCGTTGGGTTGGGACGATGAGATTCCACAACAATATCAAGCCAGATGGTCTAAATGGAAAACCGAGCTTCAAGACCTTGAGCAATTTAGAGAAAGCCGAAGTTTGATACCATCTTGGTTTGGAGAAATAGTTTCACGGCAAATCCATATATTCTCAGATGGAAGCTTCTATGGATATGGCTCAGTAGCGTACCTCCGTCTCCAAGATGACAAAGGTCAAATCCACTGTGCTTTTTTAATGGGAAAGTCACGCCTTTCTCCAGTGAAAGTCATTACGATTCCACGCATAGAGCTTGTTGCTGCAACTTTGTCTGCCCGTTTGGGACTGTTACTAAAAGAAGAATTAGAGATGCAACCTGATACCATAACGTATTATACCGATTCGACAACAGTCCTCTGCTACATACGGAATGAGCATACCAGATTTCACGTATTCGTTGGGAACCGCGTACAAATTATCAGAGACTTGACCGATTTAAAGCAATGGCAATATGTAGAGTCACGGGAGAATCCAGCAGATTACGCATCAAGAGGAATGGATAGCCAAACTTTGGTAAATCAACGGAAGTGGATCCGGGGTCCAGACTTCCTGTGGCAAGAAGAGAGTACGTGGCCACAACAACCAGATATGCCGGGGGTCACGGATAAAAACGATCCAGAAATTAAGGTAGTTAAATGCTCAAGGATATCCATCAACCTTTCCATGGCAACAGTCAATAAACTGTTTGAAGCCTTTTCAGATTGGCATCGGCTGAAGAAAGCAGTGGCAATAATACTTCGAATACGTAAATTACTGATGCAACGAATTACACAAAGAAGAGGCTTAGTCGATAATAATATTACTCCAAGCGTAAAGAAACAAACAACGCAAGGGAAGAATCCACCACCGTTGCTACCGTTGATTTCACTTGAAGAACTGGAAGAAGCTGAACGCTGTATCGTAAGGTGTACGCAGGCACGAGCCTTTGAAAACGAAATTCGAGCTATTAACGTTATCATGGGTTCTGGAGAAAAAGATGCGCGAAAGCAAGATAAACAAAAAAAAACGGAGATTAAAAAATCAAGTTCCATCTACAAGCTAAATCCATTTTTCTCCGAAGGTATTCTTCATGTTGGGGGTCGTTTGGCAAAAGCCGAGTTGGCAGAAGCTACAAAGAATCCTATAATCCTACCACGTAAGAATCATATCACAACGCTTATCATTCGGCATGTTCATCGATTGTTAGGTCATGCTGGTCGCGGTCATGTCCTTGCAGCCCTAAGAGAGAAATACTGGATAATAAGTGCCAATGCTGCTGTTCGCGAATGTCTCTTCAAATGTGTCACTTGCCGACGCATTCGAGCTCCACCGACCGATCAGATAATGGCAGATCTTCCTAAGGAACGCGTCAACCCAGCTCCACCCTTTACGTATGTCGGTGTGGATTTTTTTGGCCCGTTTCAAATTAAGGAGCGGAGAAAGGTATTAAAGAGATATGGAGCCCTATTTACATCTTTCAAGCAGAGCCATACACATCGAAGTAGCTAATTCGTTGAGCACAGATTCCTTTATACATGCATTACGACGTTTTATTGCTCGCAGAGGACCTATACGACAAATTCGATGCGACAACGGTACAAACTTTATTGGAGCAAAGTCGGAACTGGACAGTGCTCTAAAGCAAATAGATCATGTTCTTATTCAAAACAAGTTAAATCGAATTGACATTGAGTGGATTTTCAACCCACCAGCGTCTAGTCATATGGGCGGAGTATGGGAGAGACAGATACGAAGCGTTCGCAAAATATTGGCGGGCATCCTTTATGAAAACGGTGAACAACTGGATGACGAGTCTTTCCATACCGTATTATGTGAAGTCGAAGCAATTGTCAACTCGCGACCACTAACCTTTCCATCTAGTGATCCCAACGATCTAAATCCAATATAACCAAGCAACATACTAACCATGAAGACATCCGTAGTATTACCACCACCTGGTGTGTTTGACCGTGAGGATTTGTACGTTCGTCGACGATGGCGTAGAGTACAATACCTAGCTAATTTGTTTTGGTCAAGATGGAAAATGGAGTATTTGCTATCCCTTCAAAACCGACAAAAGTGGACCAAAACGAAAAGAAACGTTGCGGTAGGCGACATAATGTTAATTAAAGACGACAATTCGCCAAGAAATGTATGGTCAATGGGTCGCGTAACAGAAGTTTACCCAGATGCGAAAGGATACGTGAGAAGTGCAAAATTAAAGACGTCCACTACAGAACTGCACCGTCCTATTAACAAGCTAGTACTTTTATTACGAAAAAGAAAAGCAGAAACTTGATCTGACTATCTAAACGAACATATGGAACAGATAGTACAGTTTAATTAGTTGTTGTGTAAACTGATGTATAGTTAAACAATGTTCTTATCATTGTTTAAGGGGTCGGGAATGTTATGGCAGACGCTAGAGTATTATAGTTATTAACATACTAATGAGATAACGTGGGTGGTTGGCTATAAAAGAGCCCAGCGATACATAGCTGGCCATAGCTTACAATAACGAATATTGCATGTGAACGTAAAGGTGTAACGAAGTGTACAAAGGTCACAAACTTTTTGAACCGTGTTTATCAACTACAACATCGTGTCAGTGTCTTTGATTGTCTAAACGGATTTGAACTAAATACGCGTCTCTTTGTGCCCCTGTAATCGCTGAAGTCAACGTACAACGGGATTTTGGCCCTTACATCCGGAATCATCACATTTTAGCCTCAGAAAGTATTTTACACAGCCTTAACTTTTGGTATTAAAAATGCACCTCATACTTTAATTACTATTGATATGAACTTTATTGAAATGAAACCACAGATGTCTTTTATCCTCAATGCTTAAGATAGTCACCAAAAATCCAAACAAGCAATCTAGGTATGCAAATAACACACTTATTGATCTTGCTTAATTTCACCTGACTTTAGTGCTACTATATTACACTTTAATCAAACTTCTCTGCATAAAAAATCTTACATTTAGAAACTTTACACTAGATAAATTTACACTTTGTAAACCTAGTTTCCAGTCAACTAAACTGCAGAAATACAGGGTGAATATAAAAATGCAGCCTTAATAAATAATAATTCCCAGGGGCCTGCAATCTCTTGTTTTTAAATAGAAGCGAACATATATGAATACTAACAATTCTTCTTGCAACTTGCAATGTAATTCTACTTTTGAGAGATTTGGCAACTACAAAACTTTCATGTTTATTACACTCCATGTTCATTTCTTACACTTACATTGTGAATACTTGATGCTAGTCTCTTAAAAGTAGGATTGCATTACAAGTTGCAAGAAAAATTGCACAATGTAACATGGCCTTAAGTGGTTGCAGTTATTTTATACACCATAAAGAGTGGAAGAAAACAGATTGAGTCATGAATATTTATAGTGGGTGCCTTTCTTTTTATACACCTGGTAGAAGCTGTAAAAAAGTACCCCTATTGCAATTGAAATGAAGCTGTTGATGGAGTTTGAATGCATGATCAGCGCACTGGTGTAAATGACACATTGTGATTAGGTTGAGGCATTCGAATTAAGCGTCTCCCTTAAAATTTTACGCACAATAGGTTTAGCATAATAATAGCGCATTGAAATTATAACAAAAGCTTGTTTCATAGGGGGCACCTTTTTATACAACCTTTAGATTTGTAAACCTTCTTACCATTTATATTATCCTCGTAAGTAAATATTAAATGCTAGCAGAAATATTTAAATGTGTAAGCAATAAAAGTGCTCAAAGCATTCGAAGTAACGGAAACAAACAGAACCAATAAATTGTTCTTAAAAGTATGATTAATTCCTCACGGGAGAGGTATAAACAGCTTTTTGTGAAAAAACTTGTCTTATTCCTGAATGAACAATTAAAGGCAGATGAAACAGCTCAAAGTTGAAATATAAACACTACAATAGCACCACAGATATTTTCCTACGTCGCACAATGACGTTGTAAAGGCGTTGTAAATTTGTAATTACGTTGTAAAGGCGTTTAGCTTAAACGGTGGATAAGTTCAAAATAGAAAACAAAATTATCTATTTATTGAACGACTGAGCTGAAATATTTCGATTTAAATAGTTAAATTTTCAATGGAAGTATATATTTAATGCATAAAATGTCGTTTCAGTCATTCACAAAATGTATGAGAGTATTTTTAAACTTTTGCTTATCGACCGTTTAGCAGTTTAGCTAAACGCCTTTCGAACAACCGGCCCCTGATGCCCAATAAAGGCACCCACACCGACAAATACCTTGATATTTACATACAATTTGAACACAGTAATACCTTTGTTTATTCCTGAATGTTACACTTCGGAGATCAGAATGAAAATAAGAAATTTTTGTTGAAGAACAGTGTGTACATAACCGAGTAATATAGCTGCTGTATCGTCGTTTACTCATTAAATAGTTCCCTTGCCCAGCCTCGTACCCAGGCGCTTTATTGGAAAACATAAAGGCTGCATTCAGCGTAATATAGAGATCTGTGGCTAAAATGTGCGAGCGCGCAGGGGTGCTTGGGGAGGACGCGACAAATGAAGCGCCTGGCAGAAACCGCAGAATATGCAACAAATATGGCGCCGGCGGACGACTTATTCATATTCATAGATGCAAATGAGCAAATTGCCGTACACCCTATCACCGGGCGGTACATTTGGGAAAGATTTTGTGCAAAAATTGTCACTGCGTTGTATTATTCATCATTTTTGAATATCAAAGCACAAACAGTTATTAACGAGCGCTGAAAGAAGAGAATCTACTCGAATATGCAATGATTTACATCAGATTTAGGTTGCACATTTCTTCCATCTGTTTGACTTCTTTATTAATTTGTTTTTCTGGGGAATCTGTTATTTTAACACCTCCAGAAACACTAAGAATTTTGACTTTGACCTGGTACGTTTTTATCATGCTGAGTTTAATTTGAAAAATTGTTGCAATTTCACATTATGGTCTTTTGCAAAGCTCATTAGCCAGTTCAATGTTTCCATCATCTAATGCAGTAATAGCAGCAGTTGATTCTGTTCATCTAAGCCATTTTCCATTACATTAAGTTCATTCTGCATTACAGAAATATTATGGTTTACTACCATGTGGTTTTATTAACAAATTAGTGTAAATAACTGTATTAAATGTTAAGAAAAATTAACTATTGAAACCTATGTAGAGAGTAATTCATTAATATTCCTTTACAACACCAACACTCTTTGGTATACTGTACTGTACATGAAATTCAACTGGTGTACTAAAAAGCAAATAATAGACTTAATTCATCCCTACAGCAATATACTTATATACATCACACAATGTAGATGCAGGTTGTGTACAGTATTCCAAGAAATTACTATAATACATGTATAAATTATATTGTTCCATAGTCCTATTTACTAAAAGGAGATAAATATTTTCACATCCAACAACTATTTTCTTTTTTGTAGAATGTGGGAAAATTTCTTTAATTCCCGAGTCAAAGTATTATTTTTATTATCAGAATGCCATGTAAACTCATTAATAATGTCTGTTTTTCATGGACATTGGAGTCTTCACAATAGTCATTAGTCCAACAACCTTTCTAATTCAGAGCATAAATTTGGTGATTTATATCTTCCACTACCTATGAAAAGCATAAATATGTATAATTTATGAATAACAGTCCCAATTTCTGACAATCGAGTCTTGATATATAATATGTACTTATGTTTATTGTTAAATTCACACAAACTCCAAGCATTGGGGTTAAAGCATGTTTCCCTGCTGAAATGATTCTTTTCCTTCCTCTTTCTGTGGGGTGCTGGTAACAATCTGACCTGGAGTTTGTTATTGTATATCACTAGTAACACGCATATAAATTGCAACTTGATAGCATATTTGATATAGAATGAAAATAAAAATGTATTATTGTTTAATTAATATCAATAGTGGAAATATTTAAATCTCAAGGCAACTAAGCACTCGCCTCTAACACTCAATTCTTGATTCTTCGATACCAAACGTATACCTTTCCTCCTCCGAGCTTGACGATACTTTTGTAAGGAAATTAAGACGAATTTAAATAGTGTTAAATACTGCGCGACTGCATAGTAACACAGAGGAGTATACTCATACACTGTTTACGAAACGAGATTTGTCAAAATAGTCGTAAAATAAAAAAATTCAGTATAAAGCTACCTTCAAATGATGGTTTTTGAAACGATCGTTCCAAATCATCCATAATTTTGATCGCAGGTTCAATTCTTCTTCAAAATATATCTACATATTGTAGCCTTCACGCATTTATCACTTTTTGCAAAAGTGGGAGCCGGAAATCTGCATATTCTGCCAGGCGCTTCGTTCTCCCGTCGCGTCCTCTCCAAGCACCCCTGCGCGCTCGCACATTTTAGCCACAGATCTCTATATTACGCTGAATGCAGCCTTTATGTTTTCCAATAAAGCGCCTGGGTACGAGGCTGTCCCTTGCCCATCCCTTCTTGCCGACCGGGGATCAAGCTCATCAAGCACGCAATATTAACAAATGAGTCATTTGTTAATATTGCGTGCTTGATGAGCTTGATCCCCGGTCGGCAAGAAGGGATGGGCAAGGGAACTATTTCCGGCAATGTTAAAAAAATAGGTACATTGTGCGTTCATGTTGGTAGCTCCTGACTGAAGACAGCACCACAACAAAACTTGCAATTTCTAAGAACTAAGAAATTAATATTTATTTTCATAAACCGTAAACGCGCACAAGGCCGATTTTAAGACTTATAGTATATGATCTCCAATTCTCTATCGTACGTCAGGCAAATTGCTGATCTCGAATTAGAAACGCTTTAAAGTGCCTATATCACTTGTGGGATCTTTACGGATTTGAATAGAGCTTGAAAAATTAGTTTATAAGTTCTACAACGCTTTTTGATATAATTAAATAGTTTCCGTCGTGCTCGGGGGCCTGGGACTCAGGAACCGAGTTCTTGTCAAACGTAATATAATCAATTGTAATTTTACTTCGATCTTCCAATAACGTAAATATTTTGAGAAAAACTCGCCCAGTTGCTACAGGCATACACAACGTACCGTTCCCGCATTTTTTTCTTGAAAAGCGCAAACTATATCGCCAGTGAAACTCTTCATGTTTACATTATAAAAGACGGCGTGTTTGCAAATCATTCCTGAGTCCCAATCCCCCAACCGACGTATTTTCGAAACTATTTAATTATATCAAAAAGGGTTGTAGAACTTATAAACTAATTTCTCAAGCTCTATTCAAATCCATAAATATCCCACAAGTGATATAGGCACTTTAACACTTGAAGGACCAAAATTTGTTTGCACCATAATACAACTAATATTTGATAAATGCTTACCATGATATAACTTGGGGGGCAATAAAGAAAATTTTGTATTTCCAAGTTTTAAACCCTGATTCCATGGCGAAATTTTCAAGCGAAATTTTGAATTGTGAGAAATTATAAGGAATTAATTTATTCAATGGGTTGAAGTTGTGGAATCGATTGGGTGCGTCGTTGAATTCTCGTACTAGCTCTGGTAGCAGGCATGCTGAAAGACAAAACTGAAGAACGAGGCCATTGGTTGTGCAGCAATAGACCGAGCTATTAAAAAAACGTTGCGTTAATGTTGAAGAGGTAACTGCGATATCGTGCATGTATGCCGTTGAAATATGATGAGCCTAAAAAATAGACATTCAACAAGATATAACTCTAAACAAAGCCAAAAACCTTACAAATAAACTGTATCAAACATCTCTTGTAGCAGATCTATCTTAGCGTACAGTCGCGAAGGTTTTTCTTCGAAGCATCTTTTCTTCTTGATCGTAAAGCCTTTTATAACAAACACAAAGACAATCATTAACGCATTTTTAAATTTTAATTCATTTGTTGCTAAACTACCCGCTCATAATCTTAACCATAGTTCTAAATTCTCTAAAATCAAAGAGTGTAATAAGATTTATACAATCATAAAAAGGTTGACTTTCGGACAACGACGTGTTTACATACATACGACAGATGTGGATTTACAAGTAGCTAATAAGAAAAAGTTAAAAAAAAACATTAATAATCAAAATATTAGTCATTATTAAGTATTCGATATTGTTACTGGTTGAAGCTCTTCTACTAATAAGAAGTTAATTAAATGCACATAATTCTGGAAAAACATTACAACTTTTCAATTGTTTTTTCTTCTATATAACCTCTAAAGCTTCCTCAAGGTCTGTTCACACGATCCAATTTTGTCGCATCCAATTCACTTCTGATGGATGTTTTATAGTCTGTTAACTTGCAACGTATCTGGCAACAAATGAACTAAAGTCAATGTACTACTGCTTTATCAATAACCAACTACATTCCATACGTCAGAAGTGAATTGGATCCGACAGTTGGATCGTGTAAATGGGCCTTAAGAAAGTTTATCTCTGACAGTATCCGGGGAAACTTTGTCCAACCAAATCATATTCGACCATCCTCGTTTCGAAGGTTTTTCTCTTTCTCCGTTCACTTGGTATTTTTACTTTCTTTTTAACTGATTAAATGAATATAGGAATACACGAAAGTCTCTGCAGTTTATATCTAATCGCTTTCAAACTGAACTCTAACTTCATTTTTTAAATCTGAAGACAAGCATAAAAATGTTCGAAAAGTAGCCAATAATAAACAATTTTTATTCTTATAAGAATTTAATGGACGCGGAAAAACATGCAGGGTTTTAGAATAATAATTTTAAAACAAACACAATTATTAAAATGAGTATACCGAAAGTGGTATAATTGGCCACAATATGATCTGGGATTAAATATGATCTAGCCTCAAGATCTCCAGGATAAAATCAGAACTGCACAAACTTACAGTACTGTCCAGAAATAACCTAACATAACCTAACACTGCGGTTGAAGTTCCGTTAGGTTACGGTTCGGTCGCAGTTCGGTTGCGATCGACCGATAAAAACCGCCGACGACCGCAAGGGAAAAAATACGTTCGCACTGGCCGTTAGCTTCCGAAAGAAATGTTATGAACAATGAGAACGACAACACAATAACCAAATCGGAAAAATCTTAAAAAATGTCTGTCATATACCGAGAATGAGGCCGAGGTTTAAGCTCCGTCTCACAGCGATTTGATCTCGATCAGACCTAGATTTGACCTGGTTTTTGGTAGGTTATTTCTGGACAGTACTGTAGGTCCACCTTTGTTTTCATTGAATTAGCATGTAATTAGTTGCGCCAACATTCAAATGTGGCTTAATATTGGCTAATTAGCTAAAATCACGTATAAACTTCGTTTTAATCAAATTTCCAATTATCTTGAAATAATCTTAGATATACAAGTAACAGTAATTTTATCTGACTAAGGCCCACATTACACGACACAGCATTAGCTGGTCACGACACTTTTGTTTGCCGTTAACAAGAAATGGTT